TGCCCCCGGCCAGGGGAGGCCCCCCTGGCTCCCATTGGCCCTGATCCCAGCCAATGGGATCAGTGGAGTCCATGCAGGGGGGGCAGCGGGGGGCACCCCCTGCCTGGGAGCCTGCCAGCCCAGCCACAGAGACTTGGAGCTGCCCGGAGCCCCCCGGGGCCGCTGGGAACCAGGCCAAGCTGTGCACCGAGCCTGCGTGAGCGAGGCCCAGCGCTGGGGGCACAAGGGGCTCTGTGCGCTGGCCTGTCCATGGTGCGTGTTGCTCTCCACTCAAGCCTGTCCATTCCCGGGGGGCTTCTCCACTGGGGGGTCTCTCTGCACTCAGGCCTGTCTACGGGATTAGGAGTCTTTCTTTCCTTGGCTGCCCACAGACATCTCTTGCCCAGCCCCAGCCATAGCAGGCTCAACTCCTTTGACAGCAGATGGAACAAAGCAGCTCCGTGGTGTCCATAAGCATCAACAAGAGTGGCCTGAGGGATAAGTTCACAACAAAGTTTGACTGAGCTGCAGCCCGTCTGCCAGGTGTTTGGGGCTTTCAGCTCAATGCATGGGGGCTAATGGCATTACACTGAGGACCGGGTTTGCCTCTGTCAATGAACCAAATAGCTATATTTGTTTTCACTGCCTGCAAACACTTACTAGTCAAACACCAAGAAAAGAAACCAAACAGCCCAATCTACAGCATCCCACTGTTGTCTCTCTCTCAGCTAGGTGACCCACTGGCAATGCAATTCATGTTGCCCTGCCTGCAGTGACCCATGTAGTTCATGACTAACCCTTACTATAGTGATTCCCAACCTTTTTCCCATGGAGGAACCCCTAAAATAATTTTTCAAATCCCGAGGAACCCGTACCTATGAAAACATTTGCTTGGCCAGAAAAAGTTGACAGCGGGGAGCACAATTCAATCACTGCTAATTTTTTTCAAGAACATTTATTTGTAAAGAGCTGTTGTGCGTCTGAGCTTACATTGTAAGAAAAAAAACTGGAGTATTTTTCCTGTCTTTTTTTGTATTATCTAATTTTTTTTTCAAATATCAAATATCCTCCCCCTCCTGCCTCACTCTCTCTCTTCTCCTCCCACTCCTGCCTCTCACTCACGGAGCCCAAATGGCTGCTTGCTCCCACACAGCAGCCCACCTGAGCAGCGCAGAAGTCAATCAAGCAGGAGAGGAAGGGCAACACAGATGCTCCAGGCCCCGCCCAGCGTTATTTATTCCACGATTTCTCGCGGAACCCCTGATGATGGTCTGCGGAACCCCGGTTGGGAAACCGGGCTTGAATGCAAAGGAACAGACAGAACCATTATCCTCTCTACCCCCTGAATCATGAACCAGCAGTGCAGAGGAATGGTACAATTTAAAAGTTGCCTCTTATTCACTCATTAAAAAATTATAGGCAAGGTCTTTCTATTTGGATCTTTCACTTATCAAAGGAATCAGTTGAGGGCCAATTACAGGCCAAGACATGTATTGATTTGTGAATCTTACAAACCCAAATAAGCTTAGCAGAGAGTAGAAAAATGACAGTTCCTCTGAAACAGTTGCTCATACATTTGTCTTGGCCTTGTATTTGCCTGAAACCTAAAAGGTTTCATTTTGTACAGAATGATAAATAGCGTGAACTACTAGAAGTCATAAGAACGGCTGTACTGGGTCAGACCAAAGGTCCTTCTAGCCCAGTATCCTGTCTACCAACAGTGGCCAACACCAGGTGCCCCAGAGAGGGTGGACCGAAGACAATGATCAAGCGATTTGTCTCCAGCCATCCTTCTCCAGCTTCTGACAACAGAGGCCAAGGACACCATTTTATCCCCTGGCTAATAACCTTTTATGGACCTAACCTCCATGAAATTATCTAGCTTCTCTTTAAACTCTGTTATAGTCCTAGCCTTCACAGACTCCTCTGGCAAGGAGTTCCACAGGTTGACTACACACTGTGTGAAGAACTTTCTTTTATTAGTTTTAAACCTGCTACCCATTAATTTCATTTGGTGTCCTCTAGTTCTTCTATTATGGGAACTAATAAATAACTTTTCTTTATTCACCCTTTCCACACCACCCATGATTTTATAGACCTCTATCATATCCCCCCTCGGTCTCCTCTTTTCTAAACTGAAAAGTTCCAGTTGCTTTAACCTCTCCTTATATGGGACCCGTTCCAAACCCCTAATCATCTTAGTTGCCCTTTTCTGAACCCTTTCCAAGGCCAAAATATCTTTTTTGAGGTGAGGAGACCACATC